GGGCAGAGAGTTATGTACGACTATTTAGTCGACCTCCTGCAAGACCGGGTTGGAATATTGGCCGTGGGAGCTATCCTCGTCGCTCGAGCATGGGGGGAATAGGGCGGCTCCCGGGGTTGGATAAGTCAAGCATCTCCGTCCTGTGGGGGCTATCCCGCGAGGGATCTCCTTGGTTAATTCAACACCGTGGGGAATAGAGGATTGTTACAACGGGAAATGGTTTTGAAAACCGGCCGACGGAGAGATGCGACAGGCAACCTGTGGCTGGCTGCTCTACACTCAATGGGTATGAAAAGCTTGAAAAATAGTGGATCCGCTGCCCTTGAGAATCGAACACCAGTGGTTAGTCTGGGAAAAGCCCAGGCTAGACAGGTACTGGTACACCCTGCGGATCCGCGCCTATGGCTTTAGCGAAGCGGGTGTACTGGAACGGGAAGGGGTGGCGCCTGGACCGTAGCATGCAGGTGTAGTTCACCAACATGGCTCAAGAGGACAAATATCACCTGTCGGTGGGCGGCATATTAAACGATGCGGTCTGCTTATGTTGTTTCCACGTCGGGTCTTCATCCATAACCATATAGGGTGGAGGAGATGAAAACTAGAACCCTGGCAACAGAAGTTCGAAGACGGTCCAGGCCAATACTCCTGACCACCACCATCGATTTCTGAAAGACTCGGTGGCTCATCTGGATCCTGCCCGAACGGTGTACAACCTCGTCTACGGCAAGGTACACACTGTCCCCGACTTATTACGCAGTCCAAATCCTGCTTTCGTCGTCGTCAGCAAAACCCCTATTTCTGGCAACGAGGAATTCAGTTCCATTTCCACCCCATCCTCTGAGACTGGCGATGCAACGTGTTCAAGTCGTCTTTCTGCTGCATATCACGATGGCCCTTGGACGATCAGAATCACGGCCGTTCTTCAGCAATGAAATGTCGTGCATCTCCAGACCCATGCTATCATTGGCAAGGCTGTCCTGCATGTGTCGGGCTGTGGCGACGCTCTGCACAAATGTCGTCTTCCGACACCGGTGGTAGCCCCTATTCCCGGCGGCACCAGATTTGCGGCCTTGAGGCCTGGTCTGGATATCGAGCTGCAAGAGAGACACCTCTGACTGCCACAAGAGACAACTATCTTCACCACAGGCATGTCTTGATGAGTGTTGTAGTGAACTCAGTGTGGGAGGCGATCATCTACAACCGTTGCAGTCAATGATCCTTGATTCTGTGAAGAGAAGACTGTTAGCTATAAGCCGGTGAACTCAACAGTACAAGGAGTTCTTCCTATGACAGGTTCGACTCTTCGACGCTGAAGTGCACGATGTCATAACGACATCGATGTATAATCTTCCTGACATGGTGCATTTATTTTTGGTTCAATGTGAACCATGAAAGCGTCCAATCTAGCAGTTCAGCTAAAGGCTGATGACCGGAGCGCTCCCGAACGCTAGATGATAATATATATGGAACCTGATTACAACATATGTTCATGCCCTGGCATTTGAGATTGCGGTTGCATCACAATATTAATGCTATCCAGTGGTGTGACAGTGTAACTTACTCGGGGATCACAACCTCAGCGTCGAGCGGCTCCGGTACACTTTACGATATAGGGCCAGGATACCGCGCAATCTTCGCCTGTGCAGGTTCTGTAGGGGGGCCATTGAAGACGACGTGCATGCTTTATTTGACTGCACTTTCAGCCCTCACCTCGTGCTATTGATGTCGCAATTCTTGGCTCTTCTGGCCAGTTGTGATCCCGATATCAGTGCACAACACGCGGCAATCTGCTAAAGCTTGTACGCTCGCGCAAAGCGGTGAAGCTGTTTGCCAAGTACGTGTACGAGGTCTTGGCTCTCTTTGATGAGACGCCTCGTTACTTCCCCGTTGCCTTCAGGATTTCTGCCCTTCAACCAAGTCTATTCGTGAGATGACTATTTACTATCAAGTGGGTAGGCTACCAAAGCGCCGTGACCGTTGATGACTGTAACGTACATTTTGGATGCTGTGTACGTAGGTACAGTACCTGCTTGTTCCTTTTAGGGACCTCCGCAGTAATACATCCTCCTCCTCCTCCTCCTCCATCGGAACCAAACGGGGCACAGCTTTTGATCAACGCATCACTCCGCCTCAAAATTTGATGTACAACATTGTTATACATTGTACTTCATCCCACAAGCACCAAACCACGAACTTCTGCAACGTCGATCCCTGTATTATCCAAGTGGCCCACTACCCCGACTGGCCCAGTACCCAGTCGTTGATAGTATATACAAAAAACTGAACGGTATCACGTTACAGACATTGCAAAAAAATCAAAAGGCCGCGCGCGAGGGTTTTCCCTAATTTTTTTTTTTTTTTTTTCAAAAACCCCAAATGGCCCTATTGTGTTCGGTAAGTAACTTCATTACTTCGCGGCTAATTTGGGGGTGCCCAACTTGCACAAGAGAACAAGCAAAGCAGTACCATCAATTTTGATCATAAGCTTGTGTTGGTCAGAGGCATACGTGTAAGATCTCAATTCATGACTGTATTAGGGATGTCATCGACGGCTCTGCCTTCTACTGGTCATTTATAATTTCCCTCCATGAATTCATGTGCCACACGGTTAGCCAATATATCGACGAAAACGTTTGCCAGATTAATCAACTTCACGCGATCCCATCACGGACAGTGCCGATCGGTCTGACATCACCAGTTGAGCATCTGTTGCTGAGATTACATGTATTGTGCAGACTGGTTGTGTAGTAGAAAAACGAAGAGTCCTCCAGCATACCGTTGAACAACTGGACGAGTAGGCTGAGTATTAGTAGATAGCTGGGGCCAAGCTGGGGCGACATCATCCGCAACTGCACAAACAAAATTCATTTCTGCCAGTTAGTCTGAGTTAGTCTAGTGCACCATTGTCCGTCAATTCTGGGACCAACATTCGGGTGAGGTTGGGTGACGACGAGCTCGTATGTACTGCAAAAATCAAATCGCCACGCGCGAGGATTTTCCCTTTTTTTCTTCTTCTCAAGTCCAGCAAGTAACTACATTACTTCGCGGTTCGGTTTTGGGCGCCCTACTTCATCTGCAAGCACTGACGAGCAGTGCCATTAAATTTGGGCGTGTGTTATTTCGGGTTGCCGGCAATCACCGACTCAGCCAACTCAGTACTGCAACGTCTGATAGAACGGCAGCGGATTGCAGCCAGAGATAAATTTCGTCAGGGTCAACAGCGCCTTCCCACCAGCCACCGCGCGTTCCGGTGTCTGCTGCAGGCGAAGTCGCGCTGCTCGCGCGTCCCGCCCGCACCTTGAATGGCGTCGGCAGAAGTAGCCCGTAGAGGACGGTCTTCGTGGCCACGGAGTAGGCGAGGCCGATGAGGCAAAGAAATAAATAATAGCAAAAGAAATGCAGAATAACAGGGGAACGGGGAAGGGGTCGGAGGATGAAGAAAAAGAAATGGGAGAAACGGTCGGGATTGCACTGAAGCGGAATGCGAAAGAGCGAAAAAAAAAAGAGGAAAGGAAAGTGATGGCACAGTCCTTCAAATAAAGCAAGGAAGAAAGAGAATGGGAGTGGGGGTGCCGTGCATTTATTCCGAGCTATGAGAAAATACTATGCGGGTAGGAAAGAAGAAAGAAAAATCGATGGAAGCCGAATTCGAAGAAGGAAGGAACATGAACCGGTGGATAGAAGACCAAAAAAAAAAGGGAATGAGTAAACGGAGTGGAGGAGATCATCCGACAAAGAGCACGCAAGAGCAACCGACATGAGACCGAAGTCGTATTAATAACATAGAGAAAACGGGGTGCTAGCGCTGAAGAAAATTAACAAAAGTCGACGGAAGGAAATAAGGAGGAAAGTAAGGGGCAGTGAAGAGCAAGCGAAGGAACCGCACTCTATGGAGAAATTAAAACAGCAAGAAAAAAGGAGTGGGGAATAGGGAAAAAGAAATCGACGGAAGACAAGATATTGTGTTGGGATGCAGCACCGGAACCCAATGAGCGAGCGGACGATGAATCCAAGGGAATGAAGCGAGGGAGGAAGAAGAAGAAAAATAGAAAATGTGGGGGAACAGGAAAGGAGAATTGGAGATGAGATGGACAGATGTAGGTGCGAGGATAGAAGGAAAAACATGGGTGGAACGGAACGGAAATGGCGGTGGGGTGGTGCATATTACCAAGAGCGAATGCGTGAGCGGATAGAGGAGATCGAGATCGAACAAAATGAAACGCACGCGCAACCAGAAGCGACAAAATAAAGTATGAAAGTCGTTCAAAATCAGGAAGATCACGTACATGAGTCTTTTATGCCCTTGAGAGGATTCGAACCTCCGCCTCCCATCTATATATCTCCTTTTTCGCACTTGTAAATTGGATGGGTGATGTGCCAATTCATCCACGAGGGCTTTTTGCGCACTTTGGAGCCTAGATACTATTCAGCCATGTTTCTTGAACCGAAGTGCAAATATATCGCGCCGTCACCAAAAAGATGCTTTTGAGCTCTTTGATTATTCTCGGGGGAACTCGAACCCCTCCTTCCATTTCTGCTACACGAACCCGCGAACAGGTGAAGTGGATGATATGCCAGTTCATCCGAGTACGAGAGCTGTGAACGAGAAAGACGCGCACATTATTTGCTTCCCGCTCACTTAGTGTAAAAAAAAAAATAAGTTCCTACCAACTCAGCCAACCTGACGTGCGAAAAAGAACTGAAGTAAGTATTCCCTGGGTGGAGTCGGTTGGCTGTCTACCACAACAAGATGGCAAGAAGAAAGCAAGAAAACAAACCGATCATGGGCTCCCGTATATGCCCCCGGGAGGATTCGAACCTCCACCTCCCATTTATATCACTCTCTCCGTCGCATAGTTAATGGGTGATGTGCCACTTCATCCACGAGGGTTATTTTCCCCACGTTCAAGCCTAGATCTAGATACTACGCATCTTTTTTTTCTTTCTTCCGTTGCAGCGCAAAATTGGGCCGTCACCAAAAAGACTTTGGGCGCGTGGAATGCTCTCGGGGGGATTCGAACCCCCTCCTTCCGCTTATGCTTCAGCAATAGGACACTAGGCGAAGCGGACGGTGTTCCAGTTCATCTACGAGAGCTTTGAGCAGAAGGACCTGCACGCGATTTATTTCTCGCTCAGCCACTGTAAATACAAATAAGGACCAAACAACTCAACCAACCCACGCCAAGACCGGACCTGGAAAGCACAGAATTCAGCTGGAAATCGCCATATAGTTCGCATTCCCGTGGATCATCGGCCATTGACAGATTAAAAGAAAAAAAATTCGTGGCGGCCGGCCGAAGGAAAAAAAAAAAAAAGGCGTGGGAACTTAATGGGAACCGCCTGATGCCCCCAGGAGGATTCGAACCTCCGCCTCCCATTTATATGCTTCCATTCATCCACGACAACTAATGGGTGATGTGCCAATTCATCCACGAGGGCGTATTCGCTTACTTCGTAACCAGCATATGCCTCAGCTGTAATGAAAAATGGACGCCACCCGAAAATATTAATGCTGCCAAAAATAAAATAAAATACTCGGGAAACATTTAACACCCCCAGCGACGGGATCGCAGAGGATCGCACTTACGGTAGGATTAATAGATGAACGATTCAGGGCAGTAGTGATAATTGGAATAGCGTTGAAGGGATTCACCGATTGAGTGCGCGTGTATGGCGCACCGACGACGTGCCAGACTGTGGACCAGCGATGTGTGCATAGAATCGAGCTCGTGTGTGCTTGTCGCTGGTTCCGGACAGAGAGCGAAAGCGCGTTGTGAGAATTGAACTGGACAGCGCGCGGTGTACTCCCGGCGAGACGGAGGGCTACAGAGGATGAAGGAAACGAAACGAGCCATATATAATACATACAGGTGCGCGGTACATGTGAACGAAAATACCACGCGTGCGGACCTCGACAGCCACGAAGATGCCGGGCGCTCAGAGGCTCTCCATCTGCGCGACGAGCTCGCTCTTCGTCTTGCGGTATTTCCCTTCGGCGTTGGGGGGTTTAGTAGCGAGTAAGGGATTTACGGAAGAAATGCGGGGGGTGGGGGAGGGGGGAAGCGGCAGGACGAGTCGGGCACTAGGGCACAGGGTCGAGGAGAGACGGTGAAGGACAGTGTGTAGGTGAATGGTGGATAGAAAAGTGGAACAAGAACTCGCACTTCTCCTATCCTTCTGCCCCACCGTCGCCGCTCCGCACGTTGGGCCGGCTCGCAGTCCACATACTCGTCGGTCATGCGTGCATCCTATCCACGAACGGCAATGAAGAGCGGGTGTCGTGCGGTGGACTCGAGGGGGTGGTGAACCGGGCATTGGCAGCCTGGCCGCTCGAGCATCTTCGGGCGCGCGTGAAGCCTCGAGGAGCCGTATGCCTCGGGTGATGGAAACGGGGGGCCGCCGGAGACGGTGTGTTGGTTGGAAGGCGCGCGCGTGGAGTGCTGGCGCATGACGGACACGGACCAAAATACGTGGGGCGGGGAGCGCCGGGCCGCGCTGGATCGCGTTACTCTTGCTCGTGCATAGTAGTAGTAGCAGTAGTTGCAGTGGATGTAGCCCTAGATGTAGACACGCAGCGAGTGAGGGGAAGGCGTGGTACAAGTCGGGAAGCAGGGCGCACCGCCACGGGCGCCCAATTGAGGCAGTGACCGTGACGTGACGTCATGACGCACTTGTCCTACGCGCGGGAAGGGATGGAGCAGACCTGAGCAGACGCTGCTCGAATGGCAGGAACGAGGGCGGAAATCCTCGCACTGCCGTCGCTGCTCACCGTGCTCATCTTCACCTCCGCCTCCATGGTTTAACAATCCCTGCTCCGCCTGCTAGACCAAGCGCAGACTTTGGGCCCACATTTTATGGCTTTCGTTTTACCCGCATAGAACGGCCCACATCACATATTCACACTCTCTTCGTCTTTACCGCGCGCAGAACCGTCTCGGCGTCGGGGGGCGCCATCTCTTTCCTCTTTCGGACCCTTCTTCCTCCTCTGCGTTCTCTCTCTGACTCTCTCGGATCCATGGTGCTCCATCTCCTCGCTGCCTCCACGTCCTCCGTGCGCATCCTTTCTACCTCTTCGCCATCGCCGTCATAAAGTCGTCCCCGCCGTGCTCGCAGTAACCGTCGAACCCGCTTGTCCAACCCAAGTCCAACCCTTGTCTCCTGCAGCACCCACAGCACAAAGATCTTCTCAGGGCCGACCAACCCGCCGGGAGGATTCGAACCTCCGCCTCCCATTCCAACCTTCATCGCCTCTCCCACCTCCTCCCTTGCTTGACCCCGTGCGCACCGGCGTCGAGTACACCTCTAAATATCCCGCCAAGCCATCTACCAGCGCCTGCTCGCGGCCACGCCTCTCAGCAGCGCCGCCGCTGCCCACCGTCGCCACTGCCGCACCCACCTACACCTGCGCCCTGTACCCGCCTGCGCCGTGCGTGTCCCAGAGTGGTCTCATGGACCCATAATACGAGAGAGGGAGTGTCTTCCTCACCACCTAGTTTCTTCGGCCTCCATAATTTAAATTAAATCTCAATGAAAACGTCAAGTTGTCATTGTGCGTTCACAAGTCGGGTTAACTCAGAGACTACCACCTCCACGCAAAATAATGATATACCAAACAGCAGCGCATACGGTGGACAATCTTCACGATATCTCACCCAATTCTGCATCAATTCCTCATTGCAAAAAAATATTTGGTTAAATAAAGGAGGTCATGGATAACACCTTGAAAATGAAAACTCAAAGACATTGGCTGAAGAACGGGTTGGCGACCGTGCAAATGGTTCCTGCTACACAAGTCATCGGACCAGTGTATCCGATTCCGCCACTATAAAAATAACAAGGCTGTATAAGAAAACCCGTTCATGAATGGCGAAGGTACAGACCATTGGCCGAATCTTGGCACGCCAGTTGGAGCTGTCGATCCAGTTGGAGCTGTCGATCCAGTTGAAGATGTCGATCCAGTTGAAGATGTCGATCTAGTTGAAGATGTCGATCCAGCTGAAGATGTCGATCCAGCTGAAGATGTCGATCTAGTTGAAGATGTCGATCCAGCTGAAGATGTCGATCCAGTCGGAGCTGTCGATCCGATGGGGCCAAACTTGATGTCCGAGAACACAACTTGGGCTCCACGATTGTTGGTCTCCACATCCACTGGAACACCCGTGTCTGCTCCACACAAGCCTCGTCTAACACCGGGCTTTTGAGGATCGGCTCCGGGCGGGAAGGTGCTGTCCAGCCAGAGCATATGATCCACCCGATCTTCGTCGATGCTCATCTCGAGAACCATCCCTCGCTGGAAGGCCCTTCCCAAAGTCGTCAGGCCACCCAGAGCGCCAAACAAATTCGTCTCTCCGAACGCGGCTTTTTGTTCATTACAGTGTTTGTCAGTGAACTCGTTGGTTGGGGTGATGCCCCCAATTTGTGATATCGGATTCTGGAGTATTCTTCCATTTTGGATGTAGAACCGACGAATAGAAGTCAGCGCCCCTGTAGAAGAGCTCGAATTTGTGATGAATTGGGTGACCACGGTGAATTTTCTGCTGGTATCGAGTGCAAATGTAGGCCCGAATCCGTAAAAGCTGGCAGGAGTGCCTTCACGAAAGGGATTTAATTCGCATCCAGTCACATCGCATGAGGGGTTTTCACATTGCCCTCCCAACGACGCTGCGGTGCAAGTCGTAAGACCGGGCGCAGAGCATGGATGCGCCACCATGGTCTCCGACACGGCATTGCCATGCCAAAGACGGAACTCATTGCAACATGCACCCAATTTATTCCCAACATTGGGCTACAATTTAAATCAGTTCAAGAAATGAATCAAATTAATGGTTGGTCCATACCAGCCCACGAATGAACTGACGATCTGTAGAGCACTTTCCATCGCAGTTCCCCGTTCCCCAGCCTGCCCCGGCTTTGTTGAGAGGATCTGTAGAAATTCCGCCATCTGCAGAGATCTCTTTGAAAGAGATACTGCTGGCTAAGCCGCATGGAAGCTGCGATACATCGACGTCGAAGCTTAACTCCATATTGAGCGGGAAGAAGATTTGATATTTATTTGCTTGTCTGGCTTGTGTGCTCGTTGGGTCCAGGAGGAGGACACTGATCCCGATGTTTACCACACTACTTTGCGTGAAAAACCTCATAGTCACGGCGTCGGTAGACGTGGTGATACCATAGAGTTCTGGGACAGCCAGTTGAGAAGATGATCTCAAGGTGAAGCCGCGCATAAGCACTTACGAGCATAATCAGTCACCGGATGCGCGGTACAGTTATCGTAGCACGCTTGCGCGTTCGGACAGATCTTGTCATTCCATACATGATCTTCACAACACTCAATACCCGAGCCATTGCTATACCAAGTCATCGCATTGGTCTCCGCAATAGACGCATTCACGAGGCTGCAGCTACCGGCGAGTGCACACTGCAACCAAGTCAATGATGGATGTGTTTGAACAGCAGTGGATCCACCGAGGCGCTGGCCTAGGAGATGCCCTGCTTGGAAAAGACTAAGAACAAGAGGAGCAAGGTAGAAGCGCGCCATGAGGGTGACTATCCAGTATCTGAACGTACCACTAATATACATGAATCACAATGAGACCGCCAGGACCGACCAATCATTTGAGGGTCTATTCATAGTGTGATCAGCTGGCGAAGAGCAGTATTTCGGACAGCGAAGAGAACTTCCCACCTTGAAGCGCCGACTCAGATGACGGTCGTAAATGATCATCAAGGCGACCTTTGTTTGCGATTAGTACTTGACAGTTAGCATCTATATCACCTAAACGAACATCGCTGACTGCAGGCAGGTCGGTGGGTGGATGAACTCGGCTGATCGAGTTCGCATTTTTCTTTGTGGGTTTGGCACCGCTTGAAGTGCTTTTGCCATGTGTTGCCCATGGAATCAGGACGCCGTGGAAAGCAGATATTCTAACAGGGGCCAACTTGTCGTCAAGAAGAAAAAGTCCGCTGTTGTATCTTCGCAGGGGCGACACAGCGTGGGTCTCTGTACATATAAGTACACAAGTATCCCCCGCGCACCTTCCATTTGAGAGGACTCTTGTCATTGGATGAGAGAATCAGTTACATTGTGTTGGTGTACCTAGGGAAGCGTTTCACGGCTAGGTTCATCATATCGAACCTTGGGTCTATTTTTCTTCAGTCTCTTCACAAATTTTGCTCGCAGCACGTGCCCGCATTCAACGCACGCGAAACATCCAGCATCTCGTTCTAGTTTCTGAAGTCTCCCCTAGCCCCTGGAGAGTACGAATCCTCGCATCTTCCAGGTTGGTGCCTCTGTTTAACTTCAGATAAGCAAAACTCCGCTGTTGTATCTGGACACAGCGTGGGTCTCTGTACATATAAATACACAAGTATCCCCCGCGCACCTTCGTTTTGAAACGACTCTTGTTATTGGATGAGAGAATTAGTTACATTGTGTTGGC